CTTAACCAACTGAGCCACCCAGGCGCCCCATAGTTTTACTTTCAATACTTTTCAACTTCATGAGTACTGGAAACCGAAATGCAGAAAACATGTGTCTGAATTTTTAAATGAATGCAAATATTTATATATTGATCTTCTTAACCACCCTGAAATTAATAAGCTGATTGCCACTCTTCTATAAATGTGCATTTTTTACACTTTATATGGAATCTGTGGCTTGATTAGTTTTGAATGATATTTTCCAGACACCCATACTGACAGGCAAACAGGGAATAGAGAAAACAGACGGAGGGAGACAGGCAAACTTAAAAGCAAAATTGATGGCACCTATTATAAAAAGAACAGCAGGAATCACAGTTCAAAAAAATGATTCAGTAAAATCCTTCAAAAACTATTTTAAAGTAGCGTTGGCAAGGTTTCCGTTCCTTTACTTCCCAAAGCCGGCTAGTTATCCCTCTGATAATAGCACAGTGTTTCCCTCTATCAAGCATTTATCATACCACGCAGCAATTATCTGCATGCCCGTGAGAGGGTAAACACCAAGCTCCATGAGGTCAGGGGTCATATCTAGTTTATTTCTCATGATATCCTCCCTGCCTCCTGGCAAAGTGCCCGGTGTCTGATAAATACTCAAAAATGTTTGTTAAGTCAGTACTTGTTTTCAAAAGTGGTTTCTTTTAGAGATTTTTTTTTGTTTTATAGATACCACAAATATGCATATTTGAACATCTAAGACCACTCTTTCACTGATCTGGCCTCAGTCTACATTTCAGTAATGGTGTCTTCCTCGACACTCTGACAAGTAGACGCTAGGTGCTCTGAACTTTATCACAGTCCTTCCTTCCTTCCTTTGTTCCTCTCAAACCATCTCCTCCCTCATCCTCACCTTTACAGCGGCCTAAGACTCCCCTGCTCCGGTGACAACCTTTCCCAGCCACTTCATGCACCCGAGCAAGAGCATAAACACCATGCAAAACGTGGTTTCTCGTTTTTTCTGCCATCAACGGGGCCCGGTGCAATGTGATGTCCACAGCAAATGTTTAAAGAATAAACACATGCCCATGTAAGGTAACTGTGAAGGCAACTCCCACTTCTGTCTTATTCACTGTAGTTAAAGCACCATGTTCTGAAAGTTCAAACATGAGCAGGAAATGCTGCTCGCCCTCCACGTTCTCATCATAATTACACAAAAAAGTAAATATTTACATCACTTTGTCTTGGGGAAGTCAATCCCCGCTATCAAAAATAACACATTAAGAAGAACAGAATGATGTTTTAAGGTTTTTTTCTTTAATTCTTTTTTCTACATCTCGACTCTATTTCGTAGTTTCCTAAACCAACAAACTCTGCCGCTTTCATTGTTCTCAGAATGCCATGACACAAAAGCTGAATTCGAACAAATCAAAAGTTGACTCTGTGTAACAGGTAATACAGCCACTAGAGGAAAAATCAATCAGAAACATGAGCAAACAAACAAACAAATGAGCATCACTTCTTGCTTCTTGTCCTTGGAACAAAGCCTGGGCTCCTGCACAAAAGCAACAGGCCCTTCAAACAGAAATTCAGACATACCCTTTTATAAAGAGCATTGCCTATCACTTCGTACAGAAGACAAAAAAGACTAGCACAGGCCTGACGATGGTGAAAGAAAAAGGAAGCTCCAGTAGAAAGAACGAGCAAAAAATAAAGGAAAGCAATTTTCATGACATAATTCTTCTAGGGAAATGGAATGCAAATTAGAGGACATATCTGCATATGCTTACAAAAAGAAAGACATTCTTGTTTCTAACTTCCAATGGTGCAATTTTCTTTAATTGTATAAACTTGGCTGGGGTTACCAGTGGGTTCTAATTAAATCTCTTTATAATGTCTCCTTTGATTCATGACCTCTTAATAAGTTAAAATGACATGCGACCATTACACTTAACTGGAAAAACAACAGGTTTTAAACCTACCTGCAAAATCCACTGAAATTATAATGATGTGGCATAATTATTAATGACAGTCACATCTGGGGACTCCACAAATATATATGTAAGATTGCCAGTTCTTCTTTAATGTTCAGTGTGTGCTCACTGTAGGTATGTCGCAAAGGGTATAATAAAATCTGGAAGAAAATTCAGATACTTTATAAGTTTTTAATCTGCATAATGCACTGGAAATGGCAAAATTTTTTTAAAAGCTCATCTTTATTTGGCTTTCCCAGTGGTGTAGGAATATTTCTTTTCTATTGTCACACCTCTACCCTCCTTTTCCCTTACATCTGCCCAGGCCAAAGTGCCAGCACAGGACATGTGAAACCTATATTCCGAGCTCCATAATTCCACCGAGACCTGGAAAACTTAAAAACATAATTACTGCTGTACGCTATCTTTGTTTCTATAAATGACCGTGGCTCGAGACCACAAATTAGAAGAGGCTCGCAAGGGCCAATTAAGGACTGGAAATAGGACCCAGAAGGAAATTTTTTTTTTTTTTAGTTAAAATTGTTCAGTTTGAAAATAGAAAAAATCTAAAAACTGGATGTAGAAGTTTTCCTGGGATGACAATAGGTGGTGTAATCTACCTCTGCTAAAGAAACTGGCTGATGATAGTAGCTTACAGTTACAAGATGTTTGTTACTTAATTATCTCAAAATGACCTATGATGTATGCAGATCATTTCTCATTTAAGCCCTGTCATGGACTAAATTGTGTCCCTCCAAAACTCCTATCTTGAAGCCCTAAGCCCTTAATGTGACTGTATTTGGAGATGGGCCCATAAGAAGGTAATTAAGGCTAAACAAGGTCAAAGGCTGGGGCCCTGATCCAATTCAACTGGTGTCCTTACAAGAAGAAGAAGAGACACCAGAGATCTCTTTCTCTCATGCACATTCATGGAGGACATAGCAAGAAAGTGCTCTGCAAGCCAAGAAGAGAGCTGTCACCAGAAATCAACCCTGCCGGACCTTGATCTTGGACTTCCAGCCTCCGAAACTGCGAGAAACTAAATTTCTGTGGTTGAAGCCCTGCAGCCCGTGGTATTTTGTTATGGTGGCCTGAGCAGACTAATGCAAGCCCCATATTTTTCAGGTACTTAGACACCAAAAAAATTTCCCAACTATGACATTTTAAAACAGGGGCAGTCCTTGGATTTCTAATACAGGGAAGTTGTTAGATGCCACATTAGGAAGCAAATACTCCTGCTTTACTGAGAGAATACCGCTATAAACTTTTGATGAAACTATAGAAATCACTGAGTATTTAAGTAAAAATAGGAGAAAGTGAAGAATAGGTGTTTATGAAGCAACACAAATTCGAAGCAATTTTAAAAGCTAAGAACTGTCTTGCAAAGAGAAGTTTCAAGAGAAAGAATGTGCAAAATTAGTCAATATTTTATATATTACTGCTTCATTCACATTCTCAACATACATTTTTTTAAAGATTTATTTATTTATTTTAGAGAGAGGGAGTGTGTGCAAGCGAGTGGGGGGAGGGGCAAAGAGAGAACCTTAAGCAGGCTCCACACCCAGCGCAGAACCAGACGCGGGGATCGATCTCACAACCCTGAGATCATGACCTGAACCAATATTAAGAGTCGGACGTTCAACTGACTGAGCCACCCAGGTGCCCTTACGCAACATACGTTTACTGAGCACCTGCTATGTGTCAAGCACTATTCTAAGCATTAGCAATTTTGTGTTGAAAGGATGTGCTAGTTCCCTACCCTACTGTGGTGTGTATCCTAGGAAATACTGTATTTGCCTAGACTGAGAAGTGGATGGTAAGGCAGACTCTTCTGAAAAAGAAAAAGAAAAAGAAAAAGAAAAAAGAAAACTTGAGGAAATAATACCCTCAAAAGAATTCAGTCATTTACTGAACAAGTATTTATTGGGCAACTTCGCTGTTCTACAGAATGATGGAATTAAGGAAAGAACTGGGAGTTTTAAGAAAGAAAATCAATGTGTACCTACGCAGATCCAAAAGAGATGTTTTGATTAAAATAAATCTAGAAATATTAGAACTCCTTGTAATAATCTTCATTATACGATGAAATGCACACAAGGCTAGGGGGCATCAAAATGGGTGTGTTTATTGGTACAGTCCTGGGTAAGCCATCCCAGAGCTGGCAGCCTTGGGCACAGTGAAAAGCCATGGGAAGAAGATATGTTGGCCCAAGAAGTTAATTCATCCATTTACCAGATTTTGCTCTGTGTCAGGCACTGGGGCTACAGAGAAAAAGACAGCCTGAAGCTTCATAGAGGTCAGTCTAGCAGGAAGATAACTCATAATTCAGATTCCCAGAGTGGCAAGAAGAAGAGCAAGGCCAGGGAAGAGGAGGCAGCGTCTGGGCACAGGGTGGATAGGGAAAGGGTACAAACAGCCTTCCAGGTGGAAGCGTGAAAGGCACAGGGCTCAGGGTCCAAGAGGGACACCCAGGCTGGACACCTCAGCTGGTAATCAACCAGGGACAGTCTCAGATTCCATGCTAAAGGTTTAGCATTTTATCCCAAAGGCAACAAGGAGCCATTGACAGATTCGAAGGAAGAGAGTGACGTGATCCGATGTGCATTTTAGGAACTTGCAAGAAACCACAAGAACAGCTCAGGAGGGAGAAGAGGCAGTACTGTGGCAGGCAAGAACAGTCTAGAGACTCATTCCCACAACCCAGGCAAGGGACAGGGAGGGCCTAAATTAAGGATGTGACAAGAAAGTACAAAGCACCATGATATGCATTTGTAGGGATGCAAAAAATAAATTGAAAAAGGTGTGGATGATCTTTGCCTTCATGATGCTGAAGAGGTAAAACACATAACAAGAGAAATGCTCATTAAAACCGAACCATGGAACAGGATGTGTGAAATGAGTGGGACAGCTAAGGGCACCATCGAACAAAGAACTCTCATGGTTCGGAGATGAGAAAGATCGCTGTAGCTGGGGTCTGCGTGTGGGTCCAGGGTCATTTACAGACACTGTGAAATTGTTCCAAAAAGAGGAATGACTCATGCAAAAGCCCAGAAAAGAGTAAGCTGGTCAGGCCTAAAAGAAATGGAGGAACAGTGTTGACGGACAGCCAAAGATAGGGTGAAAAATAATTCAGGAGCAGATCGTGGAGGATCCTTAGAGTCTGAATGAAGGAGCTTTGGAGATGAAACTTGGTCCCACGCAGAGAGGCACTCCAAGGGATGTTCCTAATGACTCATAACTAGGGTCTTGATGAAAGAGATATTTTAGAAAGACTCATCTGGTGACAGTGTTTAAGATACAATGGAAAAACAGCAGAAGGAGCCTGGAAGGAGAGAAGGCCCATCAGGAGGTCCTACAGGAACTCAGGCAGGAGAAAGGGCCTGAACACACGGGAAGCGAAAAGAAGGGAATGGGGGAAAGGGATTTCACAAAAGAAGGATCTTCAGAAATGGGGAGCTGGATACTTAATCTCTGTTTCCAAGAAAAAAAAAAGTCATGCATGTTAATTCTTTTATTAGGGGGGCCCTTCCCCACCTCCCCTTGAGACAATGCCATTTTAGAGCTACAACTCTCGTACTTGCCAGGCACAAGTAATTACTGGTCTGGGATGTATTTGTTTCTTTAAGTGACTGTGGCTAAAAATCGGAGGATAAAAAGAAGAGATCAACCTTTGAAGTTCTGCCCTAGGTGGAAAAATAAAGCAAAACCAGGTGTCAGGGAAACCACGGATTTGGACATGAGAAAGGACCAAGAGGTGATTTTCCGTACATTGTTCTCATGAAAGTCTAAGTATTCCTTATAGAAATATTTTCCCTGAGGAGAGATTGTTCATAGGATCTAATTAGACTGGGTATGTCAAAGTGTTTTGAAACAAATAAAGCATTCATACATGTGTTAGGTATTATAAGGAAATACGTGTTATTGCCCTATCACTTTCTTGGACATATTTGATCTTTGCTTTAAAGATAATGCTACCGACCCACGATGACTCGGGAAAACACCAGAGTTACTAGTTGAGATAAGTTGGAGATAAGGTACAGTCCATTAAAGTGACATATAAATTACACTCTGTGAAAATACTAGCCTTCAAGGGCCTAAATCTAAACCACTGACCTAATAACTAGCTGTTATTTCATCTGAGTTAATCAACCCAGTTATGAGTCATATCAAAAACACCATACTATTCTCCTTTCCAAGTACTTAGTGTACTGGACTTTACTACTCAAAATCAGAAGCTTTCATATAAATTTTGCACTGCTTATAAGTGTAAGGAACACTTCTTGTTATGCTTCTTGTGTAAGGAACAAAATTAACAAATACTCTATGTCAACACTGAATGTCTTTCTCATTTTTACCTCCTTCACCTTTTAACAAAAAATTTTATGTTCACTAAATGTAAAAAGGATGAGAAATCCTTCCGTTATCAGTTGTTTGGGTTTATATAAGACCTAATTGCCTCATACACTATAATTTTGCCACCAGTTTACAATCAGCATGCATTTCTCATGCATGAGTTGACCCAATTACATAACAAATTTTGCCTTTGGGGATTTCTCTTGACTGCTTGTATTCTGTCCACCATACAACTCAATTTCACACCATCAGCAGCCTGAACATGGCCACAGTCAGCCTCTGTCAAAATGATTTATTTAAATTACAAACAGAGACCAGATCCCTAGATAATCATCCCTACCCTCATGCTCACCCTTACACTCAGCCTAACTTTGAATCAAATCTTTTAATAGCCCATAGACACTGCTATTCAATTATTAGGCCATGTTTACCTCCTATAATCTAATATTTTGGAAGTTAACTCACAAAATCTCAGGGAACTAAATCATCAGTATCCATGTAAGCTTATTAATGGGCACATAATTTATTTTGCATTCTGAGAAGTCAATGAAAAATTAGATAGCTGTATCAAAAAAACTAAAAATAATTACATTTCAATATCAAATTACAGAGATTCTTTTCTCTATGATTTTTTTTAAAGGCTTCAATCTTAGCTTTTCTTGTGAAGCAAGTAAGCGTCTTATGAATGTATATGCTAAATAGAAAATGGTAGTAAAAAAGGGTATTTGGGAAATAGGAAAGATAACCAAAATTACAGATACTACAGGGTAAGGGAAAGAATATAGAGCAAATGAAAACACTATTGTCTGTGCTGTCTGTGGGCCAGTGATCTAAGGAAAGGGGGTTCTAAAGATTCTCACTGAAGTCAACACACACAGGCCCACTGCATGCATGCACACACACACACACACACACTTCCTCTGTGAGTTACGGATAGATACAAATCTTGACAAATCACATAATGGTATACTTACTATTTCAGTCGGTCTGTAAAATACAGGATTTTGTCATCTGGGGGTTTTTTTCCCTTCCCCTCCATATATTTCTCCATTACCTAAAATAAATTAGAAAATAAACATCTAGATTTTATCTACAGCACAGAGCTTGTAAAAGTCTCTTGGGGTTGGACTTTACCATCTTATTTCACAATTTATCTGTAGACTATCGCAGCTAATTAAAAGTGCAGCTTAAATCAGTGTGTAAACAGGCAGAAGGAAACACATCAATAATCTTCTCAAGGCTGGACTGAGTCCCTTAGATGTCAGCAGTGATTCTGCCTTGCTCTCCTGCTGCAGGTACCTTGAATGCACTGCTTATAAACTTGAAGGTGGTAACCACCTGAATTAAAAACAGCCTTTACAATTACCCACACAAGCTAGAGCTATGAGGACAACAGGAAAGAGGGTGTTTGAAAATGTCCAAAGGCACAGTTTCCTTCAATACAAGTCTGTACCTGTCCTTTAAGAACATTTCCCTAAAATATCCATAAGCAAAGAAGATGAGAAGCTATGTTAGGTCATTTCTACCATTTCTGAATTTCTGCCCCAGAATTTGGCACGGTGTGGGAGGACACAATTAGACATTTTCTGGAATTGTGTGGAAATTTTTTTTTTTTTTTAGAAACCAGTTCTGTTTCTTTCCAACCATTCAGTAAATTCTGAAACCCTGCCTCTTTTCTTATTCTTTCTGCAGCTATTCGAAGTGAGTAATATAACAGAAGAATTTTAAATTGCAACATTTAATAAATCTCCCAGATTCAATATGCTGTTCATTACAGACCCCAAAAGAAAGAAGTCAAGGTTAAACCCACGCTCACCCCTTTCATTACACTCAATTTCAAATTTATGTTTGTGTTCTATCCCACATCTCAGTAACAGATGAAGACTGAGTGGTTATTTCCAAATGATATCAAATCCTGCACAAATGAATATGAGAGAGAGAACATTTCATAACACTCACACACACACAAGCAATCAAAAATGCCCATTCATCCACAACACATTGCCCCAAACACCTAGGAGGTGTCATTAAATTCAGTTTTATGTCTTTCTACTTTCTTTAGTCCAAAAAGGATTAAAGACAGCTTAGAAAGATCCATACAATATTCAAAGATAACATAAGCAAAACAAGTAAGCAAAAGTCAAAACAAATAAGAAAATGAAGCAAATGGAAAAATAAAGATTGCAAAGACCCTGACTTAACTTAACCCACCTACATCAACCCATATTAACTTGTAGCTCAAATGTCGTACGCCCTATCATTTTCGGAATGAGCCTGCTCATCCCAGCCTCTCTAGCAGGAAAATTCTGGTGGAGACCAGTCTGGACATTTTCTCACCCCCTTTCCTCTCAAAACAGACACAGTCCAGGCCACTGTCAAAAATATCTGTCTGGATTTGGCCCACATGTTTCAGTATTTGGGTTTATCTGAAAGTAATGTGGAAAATTGGACTAAACCAAAGTACCACCTTTCAGATTAATCCAAGTTTCTTATAGAAAAAGAAAAAAAGATCCTTGAGTAATATGGAAAAACCCTGTGAGGTCATGGAAAAAGTTCATGAAGTTGCAGCCTTATAAATGAACAGTAAATTCATTAGACCTCAGAATATTTAAGTTTCCTTTCTTCAAGAGTAAATTCCTAATGTAATATTATGAAATCAATATTCTTTACTGCTACCCAAACATGAATACACCTCATCATGGCTAAAGGAACAACTTGGAAGGTTGCTATGGGTGCTAACAAGACAGTTGCAAAAAAAAAAAAAAATTTAAGATATTCTCTAAATTATATTATTTTAAGAACCAGTGTTGTCTAAATTATAGGCTTAATCCACATGGTATTTTGCATTTACTGCTATGTATATGATACATACAGATTTATACGTACCTGTGTTATAAGGGTTTTTTGCATAATTAAGAATGGATCTGCAAACAGCTTCTGGTACTGAATAAAATGTATATTCCTGCTAATGATAAAGGTTGGTGAAATGATCAGTTCTTCTTATTAAATATGAATATTGACTTAATTTGAATATAAATTAAAGGGCTTACCTTTGAATTGACTGCAATCCTTATGTTAGCTGTCCCGTGGATGTCTTAAGTAGAAATGTTTAGTTCTTTTTGAAATAAATTTCTGTGATAGTTTATGATTTATGATATAACTTTTTTTGTGCAGAATTATTTTTGTTTCTTTTTAAGTTCTCCAAAAATAATCCAAAGAAAGAAATGTTACTCTATGTAACTGTGGTGGAATATTGTCTAACTCTCATTTTGAAAAGCAAAAATAGTTTTCTTAATTTAAAAAAAGAATGAATAGGAAGAAAGATGAGGGGAGTAATGCATGACTGGTGGGTTGTTGGGATAGGGGAGAAAAACAAGGGGACAAAAGACATGAGCCCTTAAAATTCAACCTCCTCTCTTCAAAGGAAAAAAAAAATTCTTACTAAAATAAAATGTCCCTTTAAAGAGCAAACAATGAATAAACCTTAGGGAATATGGGAAAACAAAGTGTTTACTCTGCCTCCTCCAAGTCCCTAAATAAGTTATTTAAACATCACATCATTCTGGTTTTGAACTTTTCACAAATATAATTCTTTCTCAAATTATATACAATTCTATCTCCAAATCATCATTATGTACAATGATGATGGCCAAGTATCAGTGAGTGTAAACCATCTGCTAATTAAACATTTCCTAGAAATTAAGGCTATGTCGTTTACAACATCAGGTTACACAAAGCTCAGTGACTGTACGAGGGACACACAAAATACATTTCTCATGAAAAATGGCATGAATCTTGCATATTTGCACATACATTTATATCGTGTACACAGTGGTTGATTTTTATTCATCTGTCCTCTTGGCTACCTAACACTGAACTGGTATTTTTCTGGAAAAAAATTACAGTTTGACAAACTTCATATAAAACTTTGGAAGAAACATAATTATAGGCATGAATTACAAAAGTGAAGACGAGCTATCCACCTTTAGGTAGTATAGAATTAACACTTTTCAGTCCCTAATAGGTTTTGAACTTCTTCTACTCTTGATTTTCTTTTTCAAGATAAATATATTACTTAACAAGACACAGCTTTCCAATCCAAAGCAGCTTCGTATGTAAATGTTTATTTCCGAAATTAGACGTAATGCATCGTTTCAACAAATATGTTTAAAGTATGAAACCTGACAAACACAAAATTAGCAAATATAAGATTTCTCAAGATACTTAGCCTTATATGTATTTTTTATATGATTACCCCCAGCAAAAAAAAAAAAAAAAAGAACTGTCAGGTTTTTAAATTTAACTATAAAAGCCCCATTTTGGAAAAATTCAAAATCTGAGGACCATTAAAAATGGAAGAAGATGCTAAATTACAAGACCTCTTTTAATAGCAACAACTGTATGTCTAAATACACTTTTAATTTATTTAATTAAATTGATTTACTTAGGAAATTGATTTAGTAAATCACTGTAATTAAATAAATTAAGTATATATTCAGAAATGTAGTCATTGTTATGAAAGCATTAGGCTCTAGATAACTGTGACGAAATCAAAGGGAAGGAATCTAACAATTGCACCTTGCATACTTTAGGAGCATGCTGAGCACTGTTGGCACACCGTAGCACCAAGAACACTTCCAAGTCCCAATCCATTCTCCCATCCAGACACACGAGTCACGGCGATCGCATCACCGAACAAGCAGTCACCTACGTTACTGATTTGCTCCTGAGTCCTCTTCAGCCTCTGTAGTTCAGGAGTGTCCGTAACGATGCTGAAGCCCCTCCCTTTGCTTTCTTCAAAATCTCTTTTGTACTTGACCTAACAGAAGGGAGGAGAACAAAAGAACGAAAAAGAAAAGTAAACCAAGGAGTCACAAATCCCACTCAGGAAGGGCCAGGGCCAAAGAAGCTAAAATCAGACAATGCCTCCAGTCACAACTCCATCAGCAACTGGCAGAGGGAGAGGCCACCGAGCAGAGCCCAACTGCTTGGTTGGTATCCCAGCAAGGCCACCGACTGTGTGACCTTAGGCAAGTCACTTAACCACTCTGCACTTCAGTGGTCTCATCCTTCAAACAGCGATAAGAGCAACAATATTTAAATAAGGCTATTTAGTAAGTCATAAGAATAGGATCAAATGTCCTAAGACACATACCTAACCGTGAGCAAGCAAGCAAGGGCCCAATAATGGTTATTATTACCGTCATTAATAGTTGTACTACTGCTCAAGAAAAAAGTGTGGGAAAAGACAGCTGAATCTGCTCCCGTGCCCATCTTGTCAGTGACGAAGCATCATTTTGAGTCTGCACTGCACTGTGGAGGAAGAAGACCTACAAAATCATCAGCAGCTAGCCCTCTCCTTACAAAATGTTCATTCTATTTCGTAAGGCAAAGCATATGGATATGGTTATACAATGCTCTATTGCCAAATGCCAAGTATGTAAATGCGTATGGAAATATTTATAAAATAAGCCACACCTAGAGATTAAAAGACTTCCAGCACATGGTCCTGGCACACTGTGTGCTGAGGTACCTACGATTTTTTTTTCCAGTATTTAAATACACTTCTTTTCTAATTACAACCCAGTGAAGCTCAATTTTACAGTTTCCTCGAGGGACTGGAATTGCTAATGCTTAATCTTACTAGAACCCCATCTCCCATTATTAGCATAATGACAACAACTGTCACACCGGTTAAATATGCTGCTTGTTAATGACTGACACACTACAGCACTTTGTTCTTATTTCTTTAAAATATTAAGTAATATGGAAACACATTTTTAATAACCCACATAATCCCCCAAACCCCCCATTTACATTCATAATTATTAGGCTCCAACTAGCACTTAAATTAATAGCTAACATTTCGGGTGGCTAATAAAAATACAATTCTGTAAGTGCAACTTTCTGTATGAATTTGAAAGGTTCACTTAGTTGAGCACACAATGACTGGTTTTGTTGAGTCATGTCTGTGTTTAAACACTCGATTCCCCCAGGTATTGTTGTCCTTGGGGCTACTGAAAAATCTCCTTTTACCAGAAAAGCTTGAAAGAAAAAAAACTCCCAGATGGCTACAAATAGAAAGGTCTAAATTCTCTTATCACTGGTAGCTTAAGAATATCTGACTTCCTCTCCATATTTTCATCTAAATTTATAAAAGTACTAAAATTTCCATAAATAAATGGTCAAATAACCTGCATAGTTTTTCTTCCACAGAAAGTGCTGAATGAGATTAGTCTTGTACCCCTCGATCCCCCAGCATGAGTGAAGATACTCACACCCACACATTCTCGGAGTTTTATGCCCAACTAAGCAAGGAAGCCATTTAGCTTCACTTGACATAAGCTCAGGACACAGAGTCATAAAATAAGTAGCAAAAGATGACAAGGTTCTAACAGCGACAGGCATGAAGAAGTAAGAAGAAAAATCCGTAAGCCAGGTTCTAACACCCCGAACACCAGTTTCAGGGAAGGCACAATCATATAGTTTTTGAGGATTAGTTTAAGGGTTTGTTTGTTTGTTAAATGGCAATTCCCAAAGCACAAACTGAAAAGAAAACCCGTCACGTTCCAGAGCCACAGGTTTTGAGTTGATCACAATTTAACTGTCCGTCCCACATCCGCAAAACACACGAGAATCACCTGACTTGGGCTTGTCTCATTAAGGGACTAGTTTTGAACAGTATACAATCTTCTCCGTAACCGGTCTGCAGAGTTTTAGAAGAGGCGTAATCCTTTTTAATGGCAGGATCCACAGCCAAGCTCAAGGGCCACCCGCCCAGGACACCTTCACCGCATACAGGGAGCTTGGAGTCAGTCACTCCCTCTCTTGTCTCCCACCCACTTACATCCTCTCTCTCTATTTAGGTCTAATTTTAAATGTTGCATCTGATGATCTGCCAGTCAAAAAGAGATCAGAGGGCAGAGGGAAGAGGATTCTTCTCTTCAATTTCGTGTGCCCAACACGACCCTATCCTGCCAATAAGAATACTGCACCTTTGAGCCCGGAGATTGACCCATACTGGACCCACAATCCGGCATATGTGCATGAGCCCCAGATCTGGGACTTTGCTGGGAACCCTTGAGAAAGGGGTGCTCTTTCTCCAGCTCTGGCTAATTCAGTAGGCTGTAACACTGAAGCTGCTGATTGCCACCCAGCCACCCCCTAATATTGACGAAGCCAACACCGTGGCAAGCAAAGCAAGAGATCTTGAGGAAGTCTTGATCAGCCGCCAGGTTTATCAGTTAAGTGAGCTCATCTGTCTCTCCCTTTATAACCCAAAGAATTCTGATTAATACAACCTACTCTCACCATACCCAAAATGTTTATACCCGTACAAGCTTCCCAGTAAACATGAACATGTGAATTTCTCCACTGATTCTTCCTACTGTGATACAAGATTTAATAGTTTACAAAAACAGTGGATTCTCTCTTGGAAAAAGCACAGCTTTAGTGGACAAGAACCTAGAAATCTCATTCCCTCCCTGTCACCTGCCAGCCACCTCAGCTTCTCTGAGCCAGTTTCCTCCTCTCTAGTTAGAGATTCTAGTAAATTCTTAACTAACAGATCTGTAGAGACTGGATGAGAGAAAACACCAGAAAGAACTTTAGAAAGAGTAAGGGACTGTGCAAATTCCCAGCATTGCCATCCTTATGTTGGTTTTGCTTGATGTGAAAGGATCATCTGATATTTGTCATGAGACATTAAAGAGAACAGTTCTATAATAATAAGGAAGATTATGGCTAACAAAGCAAAAAAGATTAAGAATTATCTAGTAGTTTACATTTACAAATTTTACTCAAGCTATTCCAGAACAGAAACTGATTTGTTTGTTGTTGGATTTGTGCCAATGATCAGACCCCTACATAGCCCCTCGGATATGTCATCTAGTGATCACACAGGTAGAGATGAATTCTGAACCCCATCTGTGCAGGTGCTGGGCGACAATCTGTCTTTGCCAAGAGTCACACCACACGCTGTGCAAATCTGT